CTCCTCCTCCACCTCCTCCTTCTCCTCCTCCTCTTCCTCTTCTTCCTCCTCCTCTTCTTCCTCCTCCTCTTCCTCCTCCTCCTCTTCTTCCTCCTCCTCTTCTTCCTCCTCCTCCTCTTCTTCCTCCTCCTCCTCCTCCTCCTCCTCCTCCTCCTCCTCCTCCTCCTCCTCCTCCTCCTCCTCCTCCTCTTCCTCCTCCTCCTCTTCTTCCTCCTCCTCTTAAAGATTTTTATTTTAGTCTGATGATTAATTACAGACTATATTTCTCAGCCAGCCTTTGAAGGAATGTTTGTGAGTATATCAACAGAGTTATACCTATGAAGTTAAGGAAGAGTCATTTTAGTAATCAGACTGGAACTGTTCGTAAAGAATCATTACTTTAATCCCCATCTTAGGCAGATGATTATTATCAGCCTATTGCATGAATTGAAATGTGAAAAGGGTAAACGAGGAAGACGGGCAGTACTCACAATTGGCTCATTGGTGACTTAGCCGTCTATGTATAAAAACAATTAATAAAGTAAATTCACAGTGGGCATGGCATGTACGTATATGCCATGCCTATCAGCATTGGGTTAAAAATTAAATTGCTTCTTCAAAAGAAATATTAAACAGTTTTGTGTACCCGTGTGTGTGAATGTCCTTATTAAGACCCTATACTTTTCGACAACAGGAGTGATGGTGCGCCAAGATGAGCCCATGATGGGTCAGGGAGGCTTGTGTGGAGTGACGTCCCCGGGCATAGACTCGTTACCGCCCATGGTATCGCCTCCCACTGCCGGTACAAATGCAAATGGCATAGCTTCGGAAGTACAGGTGGGGCTCAGTGACATTTACTGCTTAATAGATGACTGATTGTGTATTTTAGGTCCTTTTAACCATATAGAAGTGTTTTTTGAAGCTATAACTAGTTCTCTTTACCTCACTGGGAGTATGATAGTAGTGGTTTATTTTTAAAAATTATATATTTCTCTTTTTTTTCTGAGTTGGGGAATGGAGGATTGAGTTAACAAACATATGTTCTTGACTAGATATTTTCCATGAGTTATTAGTCATCAACCAAGATAGATATTATGAAGTTAGATAACAGTGATAGATTGTGCCCCAAACAATGTACAGAAATGTTGGAAAATATTATATGATTTTTTCTAATCCATACAGGAGTCTCTGACAACATTACTAAGTGCTGAGGGAACAGTGTGTCAGGATGAACTTATTGCCAAGCTGCGCAGTGTTGTTAATGAAAACTTGGAACTCAAAGGTATATTTGACACTCCTTAACTTAGATTTTTTGAAATATGTATAAATATCTATACTTGTGTTTCTTTCCTATCTTGTATATCATATTTTATGTTTAAGTAATGATACACTTTACATTCTAGCTTTTACATATCATTAGTGAAGTTATAATAATCAGTGTTAAGGGATTTCTTTTTTTAAACAACGACACACAACTAATTTCCAATTTGTAAATGACAGAGACTATTGCACAAAACAACTTGGCTCTGAGACAGCAGCTTGCATTGGTAGTCAAGTGGAATCAGCAGAATGAGCAGCAGCAACAGCAACATCGTCAGCAACTCCTTGAATTTAGTCAGCAGCTTTCCTCTCTCCAGCAAGAAAACGCGACGCTAAAGGCCCATCTTGCTGGCACCAAGGTACGTTAAGCGGCTTGTCTCTAGCCCGTTTGAAACTTGTTTGGACAGAAAGACTCAAATCTGGGGAATTTATTTGTCCCTTAGCATGTTTGTGGAAGAACGGGCAAAAGTTGTTGCAGAATGTACGATCAGAATTTTTTTTCTTTGTAGGTTATTAGCAAAGCAAGAAATTTTGCAGAATCTATATTTAGATTTTTGTTCAAAGATTATTAGCAGTACAAGTAATTTTGAATTGTCATCACTGAAAAAAACAACAACAAAAAAACACAGATTTTATTGTTTATTTTATCTTCTCTCTCAAAGACTTCTGAAGTGTCTCAGCCACGATTCCAAGAGCTAGACGAGACCATAAGATTGCTCAACACTCGGCTGGAAGTTGCGGAGAGGAATTTACGGCAGGTTCAAGATGAAAGGGAGAAGTTGATTGCCCAGAGGTCGCGCTTAGAAGGAGACATCACCCTCCTAAAGGTGAGTTTTGCAGATTTTTAAGTGGTCACAATTAGTAATTAAAGTTACAGAGTGAAAATTTGCCCTTGAGTTATGTGGTTCAGATAGAAAATAAATAACAATAGTCTTATATGATGTAGATATGATTAATCACTTATATGACCCTTTCACATAAGAATCCTACAGCATTATTACTGAAATTAAATTATTCTTTTAAAGTGCGACCTGACTACCACACGGAGCGAACAGGAACGTCTCCAGCTAGAGAGGTTTGAGCTCCTGAGCACAGCGAACGAGCTTAGGCAACAGCTGCGGCAAGTTCGAGAAGGAGCAGCGGCAAAGGCTCGATCCCTCGAAGCTAGCCCTGTTTATGGTATTATTGCTGCAGTTTTTGTACAGGAAAAAAAAAAGGAACAAATCTGTTGTTTTCCTTAGTCTCTAGCATAGTATTATATCTCTCAAAAGGGCATTGCCGTTAGATATTGAGGTACATGAACAAAAGCAAGTGAAGTTATTTTTATTGGTTTAGGTGTTGATTCGTATTTTCTGTTTTAATAGGTTTTCAGGAGAAAGTAGCTGTCTATTTAATTAGAAATCTGCTTGTTTATAATCTCTTCTTTATATTGTCACAGAGGGTATAGATAATCCACTTGGGGAGGTAGAAATCAAGAAGATGAAAGACCAGCTTCGGAAGGAACAAGATACCTCAGCCACCCTCCTTCAGGAACTCCATGACACTCGGACTCAGGTAAGATGCAGTCTCTTTTCTGGTTTGTCCTTTTTTTTCTCTCTCTCTCTCTCTCTCTATTTTTCTGTTTATTCTTTCTTTCTTTTTCTGTCTTTCTTTCTTTCTTTCTTTCATTTGTCTGTATATGCATTGCATTTGACTTATTTATTTCTGTATATATATATATGTACATTAAATATTAATGAAGCCTTACTTAACACTTGTAAACATTAGGTCGAAGGTCTAGAATCAGAGGTACACCGGGCACAAGAAGAAACCTCCATGTACCGAGAACGCTGCCGAAACTTGCAATCCAAAATTGACGCTACCTTTGCACATGCACCTACTGCTGTAGATAGAAAGGTGTGTATCAGATAGCTATGTAAATGTTCATTGGTATTTCTTGCTGGCTATGAGATTTTCTGGATTTTCTTTTTATTCAGAAATGATTATAAATCTTCGATAGTATTACCATTTTTATATATCCAGAAATTTGTTCCTTTGGTACTGAATACATCGTATTTGATATTATGTATCCCAACTTATTAACACACACATGCATGTGTATATACTTATTACAAAATGTATTTTAAAAGAGAAAGTATTGTATAATAATTAAGGGAAATTTCAGGAACCTCTGGATGCCTTGGAGAGAAAGAGGCTAATGGATGAAGCAGCCATGTTGAGGGAAGAGGTAAGACAGCTGGGTTGTAGAGTGTAGTAAAAAGGCTAAAATAAGACATTTGACTTGTGGAAAGTTTTATTTTTTCTGTCTCTGGGGTAATTGGCATTGAATGTGTTTTAGCAAATATATAGACAGTATTACATAACTGTACCAAGTACCAAAATCGCCCAGGGGCCGGATACTCAAAACTACCCGTCAGTTACAAGGCCGAGGACGTTGTAACCGCTTTACAACATCGTACCTTCCGATCTCCTTACTACATTGTAACCCAACCATACTCAAAAAATAATTACGATGTAGTAAGCACATTGTAAGGCCCGTGTTTACATTGTAAGTTAATTCCATTGACTACCAAGAGAGGGCAGACCGTTAGTTGATTGACCAATCAGCAGTCAGCCTGCTAGACGTAACAACCAATGGAAAGCAATGGTTGTCTTATTGCCACGCACCCAACGGTCACCAACTCCATGGAAGGCCCAGCGACTGTCTCCCCGAGTAATATTTTTGAAAGACTTATTTCCTCTACTTTTAACAATATGTTTATGAGGTCTCACATGTGACTTACATACATTTTTTCGGAAGTATAAGGCAAAAATCATAATTTCATGCGAAAGTAAATTGATTTTAACATACTTACGGAAGAGTCACTGATTATCGGAATAATAATTCTTAAAAGGATTGTCTAGTTCGATATTTGGCATCAAAGAAAGCTATAGTAAAACAAATCTAGGAAATCTGTGGTATCTCAATAAATGCTTATCCTCTCCATAGCGTGAAACTAATGATTCCCTATAATAATGTCTTTCGCGCTGCAATGCTCGATCATGAGGATGAGCAGCCACCAAAACATTGTTGTGTGTCGTCTGTCAACTCAATTTACAGTCAATTTATATATGATTCAAAATAACGATAATGCATAGAAAACAGAGAGTATGCTAGACAAATGAAATTCTCCGGTATTAAATATGGAAAGGGCATGTTACTGTCAAATAAAGGTTTTTGTCGACTAAGTAATCGGGATATAAACCGTAATATATCCGGTTTGAAACCCTTACAAGAGCTCCCGAGCAGTTGTAACTTACAAGGTACTTTACAATGTGTGACGTCATAACATGGTGGCTATTTTTGTTTCGAGTATGGCCCTCGGAAGAGTTACAACATTGTAACTGCTCCAATGTGAGATACAACATTGTAAACTGTTTTGAGTATCCCGCCCCTGGTTCTCAGCCTCTCTCTGCCAGTCTCCAAAGGCACAAGTGGATCAGAGATTGGTGATCTGTGGGCTGAGACAGTGGTTGAAACAAGTCTACATCTGAAATAAATGTTAACAAAATGGGGTGAACTTATTAAGAGATACTCTCTTTTTTTCTCATGTATGAACTGCAGGAATTTCATGATCTTGACTGAAAAACACAGCTGGTGGATTTGTTGTTGTCCTTTTTAAGAAGTCTTCTATTGCTTCATGTTGTAGAGTGACTTCATATTACGCAGAGAAACTCTTGATGTTTAAATGTATGGATGCTGTGAGATGGTCCTTAGAAGCTCCCTGAAGAACAAACCCCTCCCTCAGTGGCTGTGGATGAGGGCAGCATCAAAGATCATGTGTCTTCTGTGACCTACCTTCCTGTTGAGAGCCTGTTTCTAAACTCCTTAGTCTGATTATATGCATGAACTTACTTTGAGCATGATTGATTTAAGTGGAAGGAGGCATTAGTAGAGTCATTGCCACCTTTTAGTATAGCTCTTAAATGAGGTGTCCCTTGCCTGTGGATTGTCTGAAGTCTTTTATTGAAGGATTCAGAAGAAGAACCAGTAAGGACACTTTCTTGTTATCCACTGTCTTAGATGTGAATGAAGATGGCAGGGAACATTTAGCCCAAAGCCGCTGGGGATGGTATGTATGTTCATGCAGCGCCCACTGCAAGTTTAACTTATTAATTGTTTTTACATATAGATGGCTCTTCAGGTAGTAAGTCACCAATGAGCCAATTACAAGTACTACCTGCCTCACCTGTTTAACCATTTCCTTGATTTCCAATATTTTCTGGCCTCATCTGTTAGTAATGTCAATAACACTATAATAATTACAATGTCTATTATAAAAATAATAGCATCAATATTGTTAGCACTAGTAGAAGTGTTTTTCCTGCAAACTCAAGGAAAGGTGAAATCCGGTGCAATAACAAGATCTACTAATTGAAGACAATACCTGAAGGCCTCTGCTACAAGTTGTTGGGATGATGACTAACATAAGAGCCAGGAATAACTTTAGCCATTTGGATGCTTCAAGGGCAACCATGCCATCTTCCACTCAAAGTACAGGCACTGGAGTGACATTGATGGCTTGGGCTAGGATTTAGGTAAATAAAGAGAAGGCCTATGGACTGTCTTACTATCAGGAAGTGTTATGATATTTATACTGTGAATGGCCATAAGAAGCAAATGGTTTTGTAGTTTTGCAATAGTAATAAATCCATAATGGAAAATTATTCCATCAGCAAAGTGATGGCCTTTGGCACAGGAGTTACATTCCTTCTGCAGTAAGGGATCACTACACATCTCTTGCCTACAAATAACCACAAATCTCCTCTGCAGCAAGTAAATGTCATGAACTATTCCTATTATAGAGTTGTAGTATTATAAGCCTTCCTTATGAACTGAATTAGAGCCTTAGGGTTGTGTGGATGAATTGGCTGTCAGCACAATATGTCCTGGAATCACTGCATATGTAACTGCTAAGAAAAGCTGAGCTGTCATAATCTCCATGGGAAATTGGCTTCTCATTATCAAAGTGATTGCCTCTGATAATAGATAGTCATGTGTGTTCTTTCTGCAGCAAGGAACTGCCATTGACTTCCCTGCACATATGTCAGACATTGTACTCTTACATGAACAAGTCACTATATGATACAGCACTATCAAGTGTCACAATATTCCATGTATAATTTTACATCACTATAAATTACAGCAGTTCACAAAATCATAATAAATAATTTAAGTATTCATTGTAGTCATTCAGAACTACTCTCTTGTTCATTTACTGTGTATTTCATGTGTTTGTTCCCTCAGGTTGACACATTAGATGCAGCCCTGACAGCAGAAAGGCAGAAGACAGCTGACGAACGCACAGCTCTAGCCAAGTCCCATTCAGAGTTGGGTCGCTTGAAAAAGGAACTCCAGGAGACAAAGGAGCGATTGGAGAGAGAAACACAGAATGATCACTATTATCAAGTCAAGGTGAGATTGATCAAACTTGTATTTGTTTTGATAATACTCTAGAGAGGTTATTTATATTTATTGTTTCTGTTGTGTTTTTTCCGTCTGACTTGTGATAAATTGCGACTTGCTATCTATCAGATCAAATCCGCAAGTGAGAAGTATGACGAGGCAACAGCCAAGCTCATGTCATATGAAGAACTACTGGCGGCAAAGAACGATGAGCTATCGAGACTGAAGAAGGATCTTGGCCAAGCTAAGGCATCTCTGGCTGAACGTGCTAGTGAGGGAGAGACCATTGCAATCCTCAGAGCTCAGGTGAAGAATGAATTTGTGTTCATGTGTTTGAAGGCGGGATCCTTGCTTTAGATATGCAGTAAAAGCTATAACCCTGTCTCCAACTTTTATTTATTAATGATTTAATTAATACATAAGTAAGTTAACATGATATAATGAGATAGGCATTAACTTCTGTAAGCCAGAAGTTGTAAGCTCCCTTATAAAGGTCAGTTTTCATGAAGGCAGTGTATAGAAAGGGTTAAATTACCAAAAAAAGATCCTATTTCATGGTTATTACAAAGTAATTTTTATATTTCTTATGTGCAAATGCAGTTAATGATAAGATACTTGTTTCAAAAGAATTAGCACATTTGTGCTAATGGAATAATACATCCTTTACAGAATGTTATGATGCTTCATAGCTCATTTGAAAAACAGATAAGTGAGAGTCAAAAAGAATTAACCCATAAACATACTAGTGTTCACTCTAGTTTTTTTTGCACATAGATGGCTTCACCTGTTCTCAGTAATCAAGGAGTTGACTAGTAAACCTACATGTGACTACACCTGATTTTCCCATCCTGTAAATTTTAGGGAAAAATCTTACCAAAAGCCAAGGAAAAGAGTAAGCAAGTTACACAGGTCAAACTAGTAATTGACTCCTTGATGACTTAGTTCTTGTGGAGCAAATTATGCATAAACAAAAGGATTAAAACAAGAATGAGAGTGGACACGTCACGAACGTACACATGACATTCCAGCATCACTATTCAAATTATATTGTCATGTTTCTAAAGGCTGGAATATGAGAAAGAATTGTATGTGAGAAAGTGGATATGATTTTTCTGTGTTTTCTCTATTATCAGTATTTTCGTAATTGTTTTAGTTGGGACTTGTTTACAGGTTGAGGTATATCAGGGAGATTTTAGAGCTGAGCGAGAGGCCAGAGAAGCCTTGGCAACAGACAGGGAGAAACTACGAGATGAATTGCGACACCTTCAGACAAGGAATACTCAGCTGGTAGATGAATTGGAGGCATATCAGCGAAGACATCTCAACCAAGGGTACTGGACTGATATGTGTTGAATGAACACCAGACAGTGAATTGTTTCTTCTCTCTCTCTCTCTCTCTCTCTCTCTCTCTCTCTCTCTCTCTCTCTCTCTCTCTCTCTCTCTCTCTCTCTCCCTCCCTCCCTCCCTCCCTCCCTCCCTCCCTCCCTCCCTCCCTCCCTCCCTCCCCCCCTCCCCCCTCCCCCCCTCCCTCCCTCCCTTGATTCATTGGTGATCAAGCATTTGAGGATCCATCTATGTGAAAATACAGTTAATAAAGTAACCTTACTGTAGGCATGGCATAAGGTTAATTAATGAATTGTGAATTAAGTAAAACAGATTAATTAATGAATTGCAGCCAGGGTAGAGGATCACGCGCGGCGTCAGAAGAACCGACAGGGGGAACAGCATCTGGTGGAGGAGGAGGCATCTTGGTTCCTCATGGAGGTGGTGCCTTGCTCTCTCCTGAGGTCCTGTGGGATAAGCTCTCAAACACCTCAGACAAAAAGGTAAGATCAGTAGCATTGCATACCTTGTTTCCTTTTAATTATAGAAGTATTCATAAAACCAAAACAAAGAGAGATGGATATGATTAAGATTGTTGATAATCATTTCTACCACAGCCAAGATGGAACAGAAATTGGCCAACACTTCACATTGAGGTTTCTAATTACTTAATTCTAGAAAATTGTTTAAGAATAACCATGAAGTAAGATAACTGCTAACACTTTTCAGGAAGAGGACAAGAAAGAGGAGGAAATTGACGAAAATCTATTTTACTGCCCCAAATGCAACAAATCCTTTGCCCAATACCGCCCTCTGGAAGAACATGTCAACCGATGCTTGGACGAAGACTAGGTTTTGGGTTGATGAGCATGTGGTTTGATTTATGTTAAGGTTGTAGGTCTGTATACAAATGTATCATTTCTGCATAAGGGCACTTTACAAATATAATGGCAGCTGTACACAACTTATAAATAGAAATAAGTTTTGCTGGCACTTTGCAGTTGAATGTTTGCATTCGGTACGGTTTTGTTGCACTTTGTACTATACAACTTTTTAAATGTTCAAATACCTCCAAGTGTAGCTCCTGGAAAAAAAAAGATAAAAAAAAAAGAAAATTGCTTTACAGAGACATTGTTTTCAAAATAATGGTTGATTGTGAAAATTAAACCTTTTACTTGAAGTATGATTATAAAAAAATCTAAAGATATAGGTTGATCGCTTTCAAGATTAAGAACTAAAAGGTTGTTCTTTGCCAAGGTTAAGAACCGAGATCATGGACTGACAGTGCAGTGTTTTGCTTACAATTTTCATAGGCTTACTCTTTGAAAACGGAGGTATCGCACATAACCTTTTTCTTTTAATATTGTATAAACTTTCTAGTCATTGGACAGCATATTTTTCTTGGTATTACATTTGTTAAATATGTGTATTGTTATAATGTTACTTAATTTACAAGTTGAGGCATTACAAGTTAGTGGTAGTGTGCAGCTGAGTAACAAAAGCTTCTAATAAATATGAAATCTGTTAAAATAAAATTACTTTTGTTTTATATTGACATGTTGGCAATATTTATTTTTATCAAAAAGATTGATATTGTATTTGCTAGAGTTTACAGAATAGATTTTATGCAATTAATTTTTACTACCACTACTGCTATTATTATTATTATGATTATCATTATTATTATTATTTTTTTTTGTTACTATTTTTTTTTTTTTACTATTTTTGTTATTATTATTATCATTATTATTATTATTATCATTATTATTGTTATTATTATTATTATTATTATTGTTATCATCATTATTATCATTTTCTAAAAATTATTTTTATTATTATTTTTTATTATTATTATCATTATTATTATTATTATTATGAATATTAATTTTATTATCATCATTATTATTATTATCACCATTATTATTATTATTATTATCATCATCATTATTAACAGCCCCCATTTTCTCCTGCTGCTTTGGATATATGCTAAAAAATATTCTAAACCGGATTTTTCTTGATTGCTCTAAATTGGTTATCACATGCAAAGGCCAAATAAATGTCTGCATCTCTCTCACTAGGAATCCCTTACCGCTTGGCTAATATCCATCCCTTTTTATTGCCAGTCATAAAGGAGATGAATAGAAAAGGAATGCTTAATAATTGGCTAAGACCTTATGATTTTTATTTTTATTTTATTTATTTATTTTTGTATCTGGCACATCAGGTTTATAATGGTTAAGCTGTCATGATCAGGTTGGGCACAGAGGGCAGCAGGGTGTGGAGTGTGTGTTTGGCTGGGTGGCCAACATTTCAACACTTCTGACATGACAGGCAATGGGTCATTTTGGGCAGATAGAGCAGGACACTACTCCTATATAAACCTCATGGGGAGGTCATATCTACAGAATCTTATTTTGGTAGTATGGGTGTAAGCCTTATGCCAACCAATGGGAGGAATAGTGTAGCAGTGCCACCGCATCATAGTTGACGAGGCAGGAGAACTAGGTCGTTATTTTAAGTCTGACCAGTTCTCGTCACAGACAGGACAATCAGTCAGGGAGATGGGAACAGTTCCAGTACCAGTATTAAGGGAGGAATGAGGCCCAGCAGGAATAGGTTTGCCAGTGAGGTCAGTCAGGGTAGACTGTGCACAAGCTTGGGACTATAATATAACTGACAAGGTGTGAATGATCTTGAACAACTGTGAAAGGAAACTTTGCCTACTTGTTTTTGGAGACATTGTTGGAAGAGGAGGGTATTGTCAGACTAAGGGGCGGCCACAAAGAATCGATCCAACTTACCTTGGCCAAAAAGAGTACTCAAAAGGTTTGCTGAGTTGGGAGTAGCAGAAAGATGAGGGGCAGGAGGAAGATGGGTGGTGTGGAGGATGACAACAGGGATGATGAGTAGCAATATGGGAGGGGTGTGCAATAAAGAAGACTATGCAGTAGACGGAGTGGATGTTGGGAGAGAGGAGGGGGTGTATTCAGAAAGTTGAATAAGGACCTGTGGCTGACGGGCATGCCATGCCATGCCCACTGTGAGATTACTTGTTTGATTGTTTTCACACATAGATGGCTACACTTGTACTAAATCACCAATGAGCCTGTCTCGCCCGTTCACCCTTTTCATCGATTTACAAAATATTTTACATTATCTTATTTTGCTGTCACTAATGTTAACCCAATGGCGCCGGGTGTACAAAAAAAAAAAAAAAAAAAAAAAAAAAAAAACGCTCTAGCAAACAAAGGCGGCGTGCCGACTTTGAGCGCGTGAGTAGGGGACATCAGCCCGAATCACCGGCTCTCAGCCGAGGCGTACAGCCGCACGCCAGCTTTCGAGCGGTTTGTTTTCACGCTGATCGGCGTCACCCGGCATTAAAGGGTTTATAATTATTATAATGTTTATAATAAAAATAACAATTAATCTGTCAATGACAGTATCAGAAATCTCTCAGCATCACTGACTGCTGAATTCAGGTCTGACCAGTCGGTTTGTTAAGACGCCTATAGCCATGACAGGCAGATAAGGGTTAACCAAGGGAATACGGTGCTCTTAACTACAGGAAGGTGTTCAGGACTGACACAAAGCCAGCCTTTCATCCTTTCAGCACGGCTTTCACACCTAAGGAAGTGGACAGAAGGGGATGAAGAAGAGAAGGGAAAGGAAAGGTGAAAGGAAAAAAAATCATATAAAATTAGGCAATGGCTGAGGTCCAAGGTAGGGGTGATCTCCACCATTGGGCTTCAGTCTCCATCTCTTAAGCCCCCCTCTTCCCCTCTAGCAAGAAGTAAGGGAATGGGGGTGGAGGGATTAGGTTTATTAGTATTGGTTTATTGATTTATCTATTTTTTAATTTATTTTTTATCTTTCAATAAACTAAGATTCTGAAGCTAGTGCTGTTAATTTTTCTCACTTTGTATCATCAAACTATTTTTGCAATTAAAGTCACTTGAAGCCAGTTTTACAAAAAATCCACTGCTTTAGACTACATCATCTGTTGACATGCCTAGGCCACTGTGATTTTGATTTAAACATTCATGGGTCCAGAAATGCTTAGTCATCAAGGACTCAATGAATAGGCCTACCTGGTCTCACCTGCTTACCCTTTTTGTTGACTTTTGGAAGACTTAAATATTACTATTAGTATTGTAATATAATATACGATAATCACAATCGTATTAGCTAATAAATAACACTAGAAAAAAAAAAATCAGTGAATAGGGTAACCAGTTGTGGTAAGGTAGGCCTACTTTGGTGAGTAAGCACTTGCAGTGTCATTTATGGAATAAATAAATAAATAAAAAACAGAGGGATAAGTAATGTCAAAACAAACTGTTGCTTTGCCTGCCTCTTGATGACACTTCTTGAGCATGCTTGCTGACCAAAGCTGTCTTTTCCAACATCCTACACAATACCTCTCATGCTACAGGAATTTAGTTGGTAAACATTTGTTTATAAATGCAAATTCGTGCTAATATTGGGTATGTACAAGATATCAAAAGCCAGTTTATTAACCCAATGCTGACAGGCATGTCACATATGTACATCCCATGCCCACTGTGAGTTTACTTTGTTTTTACACATAGATGGCTACAATTGTACCAAGTCACCAACCCCCCCAATCCCTTGCCCGTTGTTGTCGTGGGGGGGCTTAGGAGGCGGAGACTGGGACCCAATGATGGGGAACTCCCCAACCTTGGGACTCAGCCCTCGACTCAACTAATTATGCATGGTCTTTTTTTTCCCTTCCCACTTTTGTTTCTGTCCCTTCACCAAACCCTTCTGCTATCCACCTCCTAAGGTGTGAGAGCCGTGCTGAAAGGATGAAAGGCTGACTTTGTGCCAGTCCTGAACGGCCTGAGGGAGCCATGGGCACGGTATTCCCCTGATTTATCTAGCCCTTACCCCTCAAGGGGACCCTGAGGGGTGGACTGCTTTTATCCCCAACATAATCCAGGCTTCCCATGGCCAGTAATGAAAATATATCCCCACTGTTAGGGGCAATGAGGCTTGCCCCTTTATCAAATAGCCCCAACGAAGTAAACCCACCCGATTCCCCGACCCCAGGCTCTCCTTTGACCACGGCTCCAAACACTACAATAACTACCCCTTCACCAATGCCTACTAGTACAGTAGCCAACAATCAACCCTCAAGGGACATTTCCACTCTCCCAGCATGCCCAACTTCAACACCTCTACCCCCACAACCTCCAACATCAACCACCCCATCCTCCCTTATTAATACCTTACAGCCTTATAGCCCACCTCTCCATAACACTACCTCCATCAACACTACTCCATCTTCGTCATGCCCTCGCCCTTCTACCACCCCTATCTCTAAAACAATCTTGAATACTCTCTTCAGTGCAGCCAAATGGGACCGATTTTTCGTGATCCCTCCCACAGCTCCCTACTCTAACAACACCCTTCTCTTCCAACAATGCCTCCAAAAACAAGTAGGTAAAGTCTCTTTCCGTAGCCGACACGACCGCTCCCGTCTTGTAACAGTAACATCCGAAAATCAAGCCATAGCACTAACAAAACTAACTGACCTATATGGTAACCCCATCCTAGCAGAACCCCATCCAACCCTCAATACTTGCACCGGAACAGTCTCAATCTCACCAACAAATTGCCCAATCTATGACAAAGAATGGTCAGATTGTGGAGAAGATCTACTTGCCTGTCTCACAGACTACGATGCAACATCAGTACAATGCTATTCCATCCCCCCCAGAGGTCATCGAAAGAAACCCACTAACATAGCCAAAATTACCTTCCGTAGACATGACCTTCCCTTTAACGTCTACATAGGAGGAGAATCCCTCCCTGTTCGTCCATACCAACCTCCTCCACGTCAGTGCCAAAATTGTTGGCGTCTAGGACACCCAGCCAAACACTGCCGTTCCACAGCCAGATGCCCATTATGTGCCCAACCTGGCCATACCCGATCTAACTGCTCTGCACAATCACGCACATGTGCCAACTGTGGCGGCCCCCATAATGTATTTTATAGGGGCTGTCCCACCTACAAATTTGAATCTGAGGTAGCAACTCTCAGATTCAAACTCGGACTCACACTGCGTGAAGCCAGACAGGAAGCACGTCGACGTGGATTCTCTCTTACTCCTTACTCCAGTAATACTGCTCATCCTAACACTTCTCCTAAACCCACCCCTCCTACATCTAACCCCCCCACTAACCCCACCTACCTTCCCCAGTCAAACTCTTTTGCCATCCTAAATCCAGAAACTCCAATCTCTACTACAGATACTCCAATCACCACTACAACCCCAACACCTTCCCCTCTCCCTCCTCGCACTCCCCGTAACAGACAGAACAAACGTTCCACCCCCTCTTCCCCTACCACACAATCACCCCCACCATCCTTTGCCCGTACTCTTGAGACACCAGTCCTCTCTTCCCCCCCTCACAAGAAATCCTTTATCCCCCAAAACTCCCCAACCAACTCCACAGAAGAAACTATTGAAAATATTCAAGATTACTTAATGAAAACCGACACTCAACCTACAACTCCTGCTCCTTCCACACTCCAAGTAATTGCTGATATCCATCCTCCTCCTAACGATATCCCCCCTACACCCTACCCTCCTACCCCCTCCCAACACAGCCCATTCCCCCTGACCCCAACCCTGCCCACATTAACTCTCCCACCATCCCCTCTATCCCTTCCACTCCCTCCTGGATACACACGTGAATCCCTTATGTCACAAGTATCCCCTTCCTCAGACCCTCCATCTCCTAATACCCCTCCTGATAGAACACCAACTCCCACACCTCTCCCATCTCAAACCTCTCAGTCCTTATCCCACCCTCTAGCTACTTCCCCTTCAAATTCTCCAACACGTACTACAATCTATATCACTAAATCAACGAAAGTATAACTATCCTTCATTGGAATATTCGCG